TTGGCCAGGGCGGGAGGGTGGGTGCCGAAAAAGTCTTGAGATGTGACAGGCGGCAAGCGTTCACATCAGAAATCTGCACAGCAGTTAACATGATGTCCACTCAGCCAGCTCATATGTGTTAGCTGCAAGCGCACACATTTTATGAGAGAAGTGGCAAGGCGGCCGTCTCGGGCTCACTGCTATCCGAAGGACGTCGCAGCAACTCCCGCTTAAAGGAATCGCGCGACCAACTTTCCCACCCGCAAGGCTTTTGGCCAGGGCGGGAGGGTGGGTGCCGAAAAAGTCTTGAGATGTGACAGGCGGCAAGCGTTCACATCAGAAATCTGCACAGCAGTAAACATGATGTCCACTCAGCCAGCTCATATGTGTTAGCTGCAAGCGCACACATTTTATGAGAGAAGTGGCAAGGCGGCCGTCTCGGGCTCACTGCTATCCGAAGGACGTCGCAGCAACTCCCGCTTAAAGGAATCGCGCGACCAACTTTCCCGGATTAAACTGTCAGAAGGACGTACTGGAAAAAGGGACCCTTCAACTAATAATCGAGCAAAATGTAAAAAGACGATGCTGGATGCGGTTAGTGGCAGAGTCAGCTAGCACCTGTGCGAACTGCCGAGCCCATCTGTGCGGGTAGGCCTGGGCGATGGCGGTCCAGCTCTTGCCCTGCGGGGAGTGGCCACAAAGTCGAAGATGCTTGCGACCACTGCGTGAGCAAATGCCGTTGGCACCTGTGCACTTCAGGACAGGGGCCTCGGAGAGGCAGTGCCAACCACACACTCGAGTCCGCTTCTTCCACTGAGCGCCGTACTGGCAGTAGTCTGAGACGAACTCCTGACAGCACGACAAGGTGCGAAGCTGCGCAATGGGTTTTGCTTGGAACAACTTGCTGGCATGCGGGTTTTCCAGCAGGCAGGGAACAGCTGCACGAACGCACCGCTCAATGATGTTAGCAGAGAAAATCATGGTAGCATTGCCAAAGTGAACCGCGCGAAGATGTCTACCACAAAGGTTGGGTACACCCAAAGGATACTTTCGAGTGCGAACAATAGGAGAGGCGTGGGCGACCGACCAGGTAGTGCACGGGCATCCCAGCCAGACTCCTAGCACAACACCGCTAGCGATCCAACCTTCGAGTGTACTGAGAACGGCAGGGTGGCAAACGTCTTCACAAGGGTTGAAGGCGATGTCGAGAGAGACAACGCCAAACCCAAGGTTTCTCAGGCATCCTGAAATCTCCTGTGTGCCAGCAAAGAGCTCAAGGAAGACTTGATGCCTGTGAATATGCGCAGCTTTACGGGCCCGGTATAAGAGGCCCCGTAGGTGCCTGCGAACAATGGCATCACTCAATGCGCAGGCAGAGGCTTGAATAGCAGGCTCAGCTGCTCCAGGCTCGATCCGGCTGGGCACGTCACTGCAAGTTGAAGAAGTCGAGCACTGCGAGGCAACTGTTGCTCCACGAAGGCACCGTACAGGCGAGTGGCCAAAGGTACTTTGTGGATCTGCTGTTGGGCCAGCGTCGCCTTCTCGTACCTGCGGAGACTGGAGTCTGCAGCCCACCGCCCTCTCTTCTTGATTTCCTTCAGCGGAGTCCCCCTCAGACGGAGATCGCTTGCGCCGCCATGTCTGTTTCCATGCAGAGTCAGGTTGAGCTCGTGAAGGTTCAGGTAGTCTGCGGCTTCTTTGAACTTGCGTCCGAGCTGCACCCCGGTGAAAGGGAACAAGGGGCCGAACTTGGCTCGTGTGGCCACTAGCGCCTCGAGAGCGGGCAGGATGAACTCCACTTGCTGACTGAGGGTCACGCTCTCGTCGAAGACATTTGCTTTGCTTGGAGTGTTGCTCTCCTCGGATGGGGCCAGTATCACCCCCCAGGACGGCATGTTGGCCGTCGGCATCGGCGGGACCATGTGCTGCGGCTGTAGTCCTATCAATTCCCCGGGCCGCAAGAGGAGGTCCCACTGAATGAGGAGGGCGATTGCCATCAGCACTTCCCCGTGCGCCAAAAGCAGGCCCACGACGGCGATGAAGGCGACCCAAGGTGTGGGCAGCCTCATTTGCGGGGGAGCCAGATTTCGGAATCCTTCGAGGGCCTGAGTGGCACGTGGCAACGTCAGAGATCCATGTTTGCCGAACTGGGGGTGCTTGAACTTGAACGCGGCGAAAACGTACTCCGCGGCGCTGACGTTTTGGTTCAACACGTAGAGCTCGTTCAGGTAGCCGGTCAAGAGGGCGTCCCAGTCCGAGGTCAGGCTCTGGTAGAACTGGACCCACTGGTAAAAGGCCAGGAGGACCTTGGAGTAGCGGTCCTGTGTCGTNNGTCGTAGTACGCCGAAGTTTCCCCATCTCGAGTGCAGATGTCGCTCCCGCCAGGATGGCTGGCACGTCCGGCACCGCAGGGTCGATCCGCCGAATTTTGCAAGGTCGAGGCTGAGCTTTCGCAGCTGGGGGACGCAAAACCCGGACCTCCATGATTGGGCGAGGCCTCGTTTGCAGCACACTGCAGATGCGAGCCAGAGAGGGGCTGACGGGAGGGCTTATCTGCGGCGTTCCTTTCCGAAGGGATCCACCGAACATGAATTCGACAGTCCGACGCCAATGACAAAGCACAGACTTGGCGGCATGTGTTGTTCAGCAGTGATGAACCACTCCTGCCCTTGCAGACCCCTAAAGCGAGAGAAAGGTTATCAACAAGAACAAGATGTCTCCTCTGCTGGCTCCGCACGGCCCGTAACTTGTGACGAATGCCACTGATCATCGCACGGCCCTCGGTCCGCAAGATGTTCTCATGATAATCCCAAGCTCCGCTGAAGACGGTGTGCCAGGCCTCAAAAGAGAGTACACCGGCGGGGATCTCCTTGAACTCAGAGCTGCAGACACGAGCACACTCCTGCTGAAGATCAGCAGGGAGATGCTCCTCCGGTTTTAGTCCCAAGGCATTGGCCCGCGCTTTGATGGCACCCTCGACGGAGTAGCGCCATTGTTCGCAGGGCCTTCCGCACTCAGCAACAAAGGTTGGTGCCAAGCTGCGCTCACAAACCCCGTAACCAACTTCAGAACTATCGGTAGCACTGACTGTGGCATCCCAGGGCAAGGCCCACGAGGTGCTCAGCAACGGCAGCAAAGCGGAGGCCTGTAAAATCTCATCGCGGGCACGGTGCCAAAGGTCAAGACCTGGCTGCGATGCACGGATGTACTTGTAGACAGAGCTGAAGACCGACAAGGCCTCCCTTCGGACCATCATGGCAAAAGTGAAGTGCCCAACGATCTTCTCGATCCACTTGGGAGGCGGTGGGCCTCGCAACCGTCCAAGAGCAATAGCGGAAAGGCGAAGCTTCCAGACGCGCTGGCTAGTCAACGTGACCCGCCTCTCGGCTCCGTCGAATCTAAGCCCCAGGCCTTCAACAATGGGCTGTGCTTCGGTAACCTCGTGAATGGCAAAACCCCACGACTCCAGGATGCCCCTCAAGCGGTCAAAAGATTGTTGCACGAACTCACGGTCAATACCACAGACGAAGAAATTATCGACATACTCAGCGTGAATAGCCCTGCCTTCAGAAACTTGACCAATCCAGGACCGGTCCTCAATGCAGTCCGTCTCAGGAAGGCCGGCCTGGGCGGCAGCTGATTGGAGCACATGCTGGCAGAAGAAAAGCGACCAAGACCAACCCATGGGCAAAGTCGCGTACTCTGGAGTAATGTAGTCCTCTCCCTTGCAGCCTGCAGGCCAAAGTTTTCGGTCAACAAACTTGCATTTGATGGCGGGGAGCCTGAAGAAACGACGAAGATGAGCAGGAAGAGCCATCCTATGAAAAGCATCAGCTACATCCCCCGCAGCGGTATACAAAGTGTCTTCTGGGTCAACCTCGATGCTGCTCCAGGCGGCAGGCGTAGGCAGCCTGGTAGTCAAAGGCTTGCGGAAGGCACGATTAGCAGCCCGCGTGTCGAGGATGAGCCTGAGTTTCCCGCTCTTCTTGTGCACAAAGAACACGCCCACGGTGTGCGCGTGCCGTCCACTGACAAAGGTGAGCATGTGAGACTGGTGCAGCCTACCATAAAATCTCCCCAAAGAGTTAGGAGAACTGGCAAGTGCAGGATCCATGTAAGGCTTGACCACCTCCTCTTCGGGAGCGGAGCCCTCTTCGGCGAGAAGTGCCGGCATGCCTGCCAGAGACAACAAGTGTGAAGTTTCCGGGTCCAACCGCTCCGCCACGTTGACGGGACAGCTTCCAGGACTCGGCCAAGAGACCAAGGTCTCGTCGAAACTGGCAATGGTGCAATCGGTATCCTGAGAGTACAGGGTCATACCACCGAGAAGCGCCTCGAGGGCTTCTTCGGGACGAGACTGAGGTGGAGGCCCAACCGCCTTGTACATGCGCTCAAGGCGAGCGAGAGATGCGGCCTGGCCAGCCACTGGAGCGGGGCATGATGCGTCACCAGGCTTTCCATACAGAGCATTGAGGGTTTCAACACCTTCGCGAAACCAAGCCTCGGCTCCAAGTCTCCGGCGAATTCTTTGGCGAGTGCCACGGCTGAGGTTGCTCTTCAAGAGACCCCCCTCTCCACAAGGAAGACGAAGAGGTAGGAGATCTCTCTGCCGAACAGCTCCAGTCATCGGACAAAACTGAGCCCGGACGCTGTGCCAGGCAAGGAAAACTGAGAGTGCAAAAGAGGTGCGGCCAAAGGGTAGCGGGAGTAGCGGAGGCCAACCGACAGCTCCCGAAGAAAGGGCGCTCAACGGCGCCCGCTCACGGCTTGTTCTTGCCGGCCCTGAGGAGGGCGCGCTCCTCACGAGCTTTGCGCTGCTCCTTGTTGGCCTGGCTTTCCTTGTGCAACTCTTCTCCCAACCAGCTGTTGAGTGCGGGACAAATACACAGATTGCCCCGGGTCGGATCAACACCCAAAAAGAAGTGAGATTCATCATCAACTGTGCCGCTCGAGACCGAACCAAGAATCCTCTCCCGCCAGCGGTACTGGATCATCTGAAGCCGACGGCATGCAAGTTCGATGCTAGCAAGCTCACCAATGTTCAACTGGTCGTACTCAATGGCGAGCTCGAGCATCTTGCAAAGGGCCTCGTGCTCCAAGACGCCGTTGTCCGAGGGCTGGAGCTTGCAATTGACCTTCCAGGTGTTGTGCATGGTCAGCGGGCCACCGCCGTTGGTGACGAAGTACTGCCCAACCCACCTGGCCGTACGCGGGCCTTTGATTGGCCAGTCCCCCCAGGGAGACTCACTGGCCAACTCAACTCCATCTCGAACTTCCCGCCTGCGTTTTCCATCGGTGCCGTAGCGAACAGCCAAGGTGCGGGCATCGTCTGCCATCCCAACGCCGATGGCGCCACCACCGGGAGGAGGAACAACAGTCGCCGTAGGAGGAGTAGTCACAGCAGTCGCGTAGGCCTGGAGCTCATGGGCAGGAATCAACTCCGCAAAGATCACAGACCCATCGGCCAGGCCGGCAACTCCTTTCGTACCCGCCTGATACCCGCCAACAACCTGGTTCAAGGGGACGAGACTCCCTCGAGCCCTGACTCCCTCAGTGGCAGCGACAACCCAAACGAAACCTGCAGCAGGCGCAAGCACTGGTCCGATAGGCGCCGTCGCCGCCGTTGGGGCGGGAGTGGATGCGACGACATGTGGCGCGGCAACACCAACGCCATGATCATCGATCTCCTTCTGCAGGTCGGCCTGTTCTTGCAGAGCAGCTCCACGCATATGGGCAATCTCCGTTGCGTCCGGAGCGTGGCCAATGTTGCCATCCTCGAACCTGTAGATGTTCCGCCTGGCGAGGCCAGGAGGCGCAGCCCGGTCCTCTCCGAGGAGTGCAAGTCCCTGGACGTTTGGTGCAGCAAGTGATTCACCATAGATGTCACCGTCTGGGGTTGCGACGACGCAATACCCAATCGACCTGAGGTCGCTGCTCGGCGTCGTCGTCGATAGGATGAATCTCTCGTGCCACTTCCTCTCGCCTGAGTACTGCACGAGACAATATTTGCCTTGCAGTGAAAAGGCGGGAAGACATCCCTCCAGAAACCCAGCCATAGTGGAGCAGCGCCCCAGCTCCGATCAGCAAGATGGCCTGAATCCAGGAGAACCTCCAGCTCGATTCTTCAGCCTCGCACTGGCAGTTGCAATGACAATGATGGTCAGATGCC